GTTACATTATGAACATTTGAAACGTCTGAAAATTTAACAGTTCAACAATCAAAACTTGACTTTCACGTCCAGCATACAAGATTTTTACAAGTCAAGTCGCTTTGGTGGCTTGATAACTCTACCACTTCGAGTCTTAACAATGTCACTTGGCACACAAGTTTCGGGCCTCGGTGGTCTCGTATCCTGAACAAGCGTAGGTGTGACGGATTCGTCGCTTGCCATTTCGTCTTCGCTTTCATGTACGATTGAATCGCGATTTAAGCTTACTGGCGCACTAGTAGGCAATAAGTCTCTGCGGTTTCTACGGACTTTGGTGCTACCAGTCTCAATAACGAATGAGCGGGGTGTGTCTGCTGCTTTCGCGATTATGCCACGTTTCTGCTGGTCGCGTATGAACACATGATCACCTTCAGCCAGCGTGTTGAGTGGTCGGGCTCTATGACGATGGTCGTAGTTAAGCTTTTGCTTCGTTCTGCTCAGTCTTTCTTTTTGTTGTATGATTTCAGGCTGAGGCCATCGTGGAATTAATAGGCTCTCACTGGTAGGCAGTGACGTTTTTAAACTTCGCCCCATTGATAACTCTGATGGACTATATCCATTCGCTAGCTTAGTCGCTCTGTAATTAAGGAGTGCTTTATGGTAATCCTCTGGATTCTTTTTGATCAAGGCTTTGGCGGTCTGTACAGCTCGTTCCGCTTCTCCATTTGCTTGTGGATAGCGAGGACTTGACGTTCTGTGTTCAAAAGCGTAGTCATTTGTGAATGCTTTGAACGCGTCTGAATCATATTGAGGACCATTGTCCGATATCAAAGTGTCCGGAATACCATGCCTCGCGAACGTTGCCTTCATCTTTTCAACTATGACATCACTTGTCGTCGTAGTTAATAATTCTACTTCGACGAACCGCGAGTAGTAGTCAACAATTAATAAGTAAGTGTTCCCTTTCAAGTGAAACAAGTCAGTCGCCACAATTTTCCATGGGCGATCCGGTGTAGGGGTTTGCATTAACGGCTCTCGTTGGACGTTTTTGTTTTCTGCGCACCTGTAACATGAATTTACTATGTCCTCTATTTGGCGGCTTAAACCTGGCCAATACACAGACGACCGTGCTCTTTCACGGCATTTGACTATACCCATGTGGCCTTCGTGAATTTTCTCAATTATATCTGGACGTAACGCAGATGGTATGAACAATCGATCACCTTTGAAGATGATTCCCTGGGCGATTGACAGATCGCTTCTT